TCGACCCCCCCCCCCCTCCCCCCCCCCCGGTGTTTGCCATCGGGGTTGGGTTTTCGTCGCTTGGCAATGACGTTGTAAAACAAGCCGCCCCCCCCGGTGTTTGCCATCGGGGTTTGGGTTTTCGTCGCTTGGCAACGACGTTGTAAAACAAGCCCTCCACTCGGTGTTTGCCATCGGGATTGGGTTTTCGTCGCTTGGCAACGACGTTGTAAAACAAGCCAATTCACTTCGTGAACTCGGCAACCAGGTTACCGGGTTTTTTTTTACCTCGGTTTTGTTTTGGCGGTAACCATAATGGTGGTCGAGTAGATCATGTTGTGCGGGGTGGAGAAACCTCACTCCGCGCAACGGGGGATGATCGCACCACGTTGTGTTAAAATGGTCAAGCTTCCTCGAGGCAGTTACACAGTGCTTACAACTGTCTCTGGAAGTGAAAGCACCAGAAAATAAATTAAGTCATACGTAGCTGTCATCCGTACGCAAGGAAGTAAGCACAAGATGCCGAACACCATTAGCAGGATGCAGCTCACCCTTCATGCGACTCGCCAAATACCTCACGGCGCTTCGCGCTCTGGTGATGTGAGAGCCTGGTCCGGTGAGAACCCGGCGTGCTCCGTCCCGGCTTTGTAGGGATGCGAGGTCAATGGTCAAACGACTACGGCATGCACGACTATGAGTACCCCCCCCTCCCCCCGCCGCCGCCGCACCCGTCTAGTGATCACCCCGTGCTTGACGGTAGACCCTGGTGCATGAAATCTTGCATTTTACCGCTTGCAGGGCTGTTTCGATCGATTCGTCCAACAGGACGTCGACGCGGTCCGATCAAAGCCCGTTTCTCTTTTCTTTGCACCGTATTCCATAGGTACGACACTATCTTCGTCGGTTCTGCGAGTCCTCCATTGGTTGTGTTCGTTCATTGGTTCGTTTCTTCTGTCCCTCGCCTGTTCTGCACGTCTGGCTTTGATACCGCCGAATCGGCTGAACCGTAACGCCGCATCAGCCAGCCGCCAACCTTTGCCCTCCTCTTTTTCTCTTGTCGGTCGGATTTCTTTTTCGGTGGCTGGCTTCGTTCGACGAAGTACTTTTTTTTGCTGATTGCCCTGATTCGTATAGTTTTCATTTCATTTTTCGGCCACGCACCCTTCCCACCCCACCAACCCCACACACGACGCCACGAACCCCCCTACCTGCACCCCGGCCGACCGCCCACCCGGACAGGAGGTTCGCGCAGTGATGGCGGCTCGGCTAGACAAGGCCGTCGAGAAAGGGTGTGACGGCGTCGAGCCGGACAACGTGCAGGCGAGCGCGCACAACCAACACCCCCCCCGCTTGGAAACCACGGCATGAAATTTTGGTATCTCACCCCCCCCCCCCGCCCGCCCGCTTGCTGCCTTCAGCCAACCGCGGCCATTGCAAACGAAAAGGTCTCGCGTTAGGGTGGCGTGTTAGAGGGGAGGAGAGTTTAGAGGAGAGCCCCTTTTGGTGTAGGAGCAGTAGGCGTATTTTTTTCCCGCGGCCGGCAATTTGTTTACTGGCAACAAAACAAGGTGGGAAAACACGCTCTCTCGCGTGTACTGAAATGACAACAACAACGAAGACGCGGGGAGGTGAGAGCAAAAAGAGGGTGCTTGTTTCACGACCTGGAAGAAGTTCAAGTGGTTGTTTTGCTGGTACGGTACGGAACGGCGTGCCCGAAAAGGAGCAGGGGACGAGGTCCACGCCGCCGCCCACACACCCTACAGTAACCAAGCACCCCCGGTTCGGACGAGGAAGCGGTTCTTCCTTCTGATTGGACGAACAGGCTCAGCGGTCGAGTCCAACTTAGAGCGGCAGACACGGTCTGTCTTCGCGTGTTGTTTTACTTGTAAATATCTTCTCCGTGTTCTCTTCCTTCCCAATCCCGCGTGTGCTTTGACGAGCAGGTTACTCATGGTCTTTGTGCCATCAGCTGAAACTGCACATGCTTCTTCTCGTCTTTGAACGCCCCCCATGTGGTGTACGCGGCAGGTATACGCGGAGATTCTGTGGGGCGCCGACACGGGAGTCAACGTTACTGCGGACGAGCAACTCGACTACAACACGTTCTTGGCCACGGAGGTGCGCGCATGTTTTTGTTCATTTGTCTCCAGTTCGCGTGAACCGTTAAAACCGGCTGACCAATGGCGAGACGTCGGCACTGAACGCGACAACAACCAACTAACCAGCCAACCAACCAACCGCAGGCACACAGCCGCAACCTGTCGATCGGTCTGAAGAACGATTTGGACCACCTGGCTGAGCTGGAGCCGTTGTTCGACTGGGCCATCAACGAATGCAAGTGAAGCATGTCAAAGGCACATGCTAGACAAAACAACCGAGAGAGTTGTTGACGTCGAGGCTGTCTTCATAAGCGACACTTCATCCTATTATGAGACGTTCGCGTTATCCGAGTCGTCAAAACATCCTCACCGGCGATGTTGAGCGCTGATCGGTTGCATATTTTGGTCATTTGTCACCCAAAGGCGAGAGGAGATACACTTTCTGTCCGACGGGAGGCAGCCCTGCTGGTTGTTATAGACCGTCTCGTTGTGGTGGTCAACATTTTTTTTTTGTCATATTTTTTGCTTGTGCGTGTGTAAGCTTGGTTTGTCGTTGGTTTATTTGTGTGCCCCGTCTGTTTGTTCGCGTGGACCACTCTTACCTCCTGTATTGCGTGTCGTGTCTGTCACAGATGATCGCAAATTTGTGCAGTTGTGTCGTGATTGCGAGGAAGAGCTCGAAAGGATACACGCACAGTCCAGTTCTCCATCCTATCCCCAGAAGATAGCTGGTAGTCTACGGTACGTGTTCAATTTAGAAGCTCGGCGCAGTGAAACCAACCGACCATCGAAGCCCATAAATCGTCCCAACCTGTCATGTTCATGATTGACCCAGTTCCCACACCCAACCCCTTCGTATATTCCTATTTCTCAACCAACTATCGCAATCATTCCCCTCCGTCGTCTGTCACTCGTCGTGTGCTCCAACTCCCGGTCCTTCTCAATCATCGTGTTCACCAGCATGCATGGAGTACGACGAATGCGACGTGAGTGAGAAAAAAATATCCGGCCGTCGACGGTTGTTATTCACGCAATTCTGTCCCCTCAAGCGTCGCTGGTGGAGAAATAGATACACTCTCACACACAAGCTCAAGTGGACCTCGTTCGAACGACTCCCCTTTTTTGCACGTGCTCTTGTCTACTCCAAAGTCCCCCCCCTCCTGACCAATATAACTAACAGTCCTTTTCCGCTCTTGTGCGGATCGTTGGTGCGCTCTCGCGCCGTGCTGACTATCACTCGCTCACAGGGCTACATAACGACCTTCATCGCCGCCGGCAAGTCCGTCTTCCACACAGAGTAAGAGGCTACAGTGTACAGGCGGTTTGACAAGCTTCTACCCTACTGTCACATTGACAGTACTAGTAGTGTGTTTTTTTGGTTGTGTGGGTGAGTTTTTCTGTGTTTCTGTTTGAGTTGTGCTACACGCCGGAGTACCGGTTGTCTCCCGTAATTTGTTGGGTATCGCACGCGTCGGAGTCATCGCACGTGGGTATTTGCTTCAAACAATCGCCGCTTGGGTTTGTTCTGTATCGCGCGTTTTGGAGTCATCGCAAGGGCGTGTGATAAAAAGTCAAGAACCAAACGATTTAGAAACCAATCACACGGGGGTGCGATGACTCGCGTCCTTACGGTAACCAATATACTGTGTAACACAATCCTTCACGTTTCCAGCATGTTTTGCTGCTGTGTTCCGTGGCATGCTGGCACGCACTGTTTTCCTTTTTTTCTTGTGACACGCCGTCCTCCTTCGAAGTGCCCCCACCCCCCCCTGGCACTACCAGCCATTTTTATCCCGGTTGACCCCCGCCGCCGCGTCCTTCCCTTGCCATATCCTGCCCCCCATCTTGTGTCACACGACGTAGGTATGACCACTCTAACCTGACCTTCTGTGACCAGGCGAATGCCATCGGCATGTCCTCCCTTCTCAAGGTACGTGACATATGCTGTGTCCTCCTCGTGTTTCACAATCCGATCAAGGGCTCAGGCCACGGCTCATAATGCACGCGTGGAGGGCAAACCCAACTTCCGTTTCTTCGGTGGTTCTTCGAGAGGTCGATCGGAGAAATCTGGTCACGTGCGGCGTAGGCTGTATCTGTATCATTTTCCTTGAGTTATGAATAGACAAGATCGCATTACCGCTGTTTCTGCGAGCGAATTGTTGCTGTTGTTTTTGTTGTTTGTTTGTTGTCTTGCCATAAAAAAACCGAATAAATGTGGCACACGTATCCCCTTAGGGAAAACAAGAATACTGACAAAGGTTCACGCTTCGGGTTTCAGCGGACCTGAAATTTCTACTGGGGAAAAGATAAGACCGACACCCGTGCCTTCGTCTCCTGCTGAACCTCATCTTCTCGTGACAGTTGCATAAATCCGTGAAGCTAACAGCACGCCACACGCAGCCCAGAGTAGAACAAACGCAAAACCAGGCACGGCGGTGCGCTAATTCGAGGCACAGAAAACTTCGCCACAGGTAGGTGTGAAGACGAACGAGCACACGATGATGAGAAATCTGCCACACAGTGTTGTTAACCGTCTACCCCAACAAAGCAAGTACCTATCGCCACACACACCTCCATCCCCCCTCTCTCTGCCGTGCCCCCTACCCATTGTACCCCCCCCCCCCCCTTCCCCCCCCGGTGTTTGCCATCGGGATTGGGTTTTCGTCGCTTGGCAACGACGTTGTAAAACAAGCCAATTCACTTCGTGAACTCGGCAACCAGGTTACCGGGTTTTTTTTTACCTCGTTTTTTTTTTTGGCGGTAACCATAATGGTGGTCGAGTAGATCATGTTGTGCGGGGTGGAGAAACCTCACTCCGCGCAACGGGGGATGATCGCACCACGTTGTGTTAAAATGGTCAAGCATCCTCGAGGCAGTTACACAGTGCTTACAACTGTCTCTGGAAGTGAAAGCACCAGAAAATAAATTAAGTCATACGTAGCTGTCATCCGTACGCAAGGAAGTAAGCACAAGATGCCGAACACCCTTAGCAGGATGCAGCTCACCCTTCATGCGACTCGCCAAATACCTCACGGCGCTTCAGCGCTTGGTGATGTGAGAGCCTGGTCCGGTGAGAACCCGGCGTGCTCCGTCCCGGCTTTGTAGGGATGCGAGGTCAATGGTCAAACGACTACGGCATGCACGACTAT